GTTAATAAAATACTGATGTTTAAATCTTATGGATTTAATCTCATTCAATATTTTAAATAATCTTTGAATTTTTCCATAATCCACTAAATAATTCAATGTCTATTTAATTTTTCAAAAACAAAAAAACATTCATCTAATATAAAAAAATTTATTACTGTTTACAAAAACATCTTTCTCAAGTATTGCTTAAGATATTGTGGCAGGTGATAAACCCCAATTAACAACAATTTTTTTGTTAGTAATTCGAAAACATTTAATTTAAAAAAAAAGAAAACAAAAAAAAATAATTTGGGAAAAAAAACTAATATAATTTATACTTCCATTTGCTGCTGATTTATTCCGGAAATTCTTTCTATGAAGCGCAGCAACGATTACCACTCACTCGTACTACCAACACTAACACCATCACTAACAACATCAACAACAACAGCAAAATAGTAAACAAAAACAATGACAAATCGAACTGGCCAAACACTGATCGCATAGCAAAAGGCACCCACACACTCATTCCACCACAGTTGAACTCGCTGAAGCCGTAATCGATTACCTGCAGTTGCTGTGCGCCTGGTAATCGCTTATTGATTCGTTGAATGAGTTCGAGTTGCTCAATCAAATTCTGTTATTCAATTTTGTCTCAAACGATAAACGTGATATTGACAGACTGACTGGCTAATTGACAAACTGAGGAATAAGTGTTTGCATTATCATTCGGCAAATTAGTAACGTCATCCGAACTACACGTTTTTTTCAGTTTGTTTGGCGCTAACGTATTTTACGTTTATTAGCATACGTGGAACTGCATTCAATCGATTTAAAAAAATTATTTATTAATAATTTAAACGATTTAATTAACTCGAAATGCTTTTCAAGAACTTACTTACCATATATTATAAGTTTAATAATAAAAATTAGTTTTGATTTTTAATAAGAATTAATCGAAAAGGCACTTCTCAGCATTAGAGCAAATTTTAGTTTACTTAGTTGATCTAAGCCTTTTTATAGGAAATCAATTTACCAGACTAATGCAGTACTTAGAGAAATCGAATAAGAACAGTACATGAAGGTATGGATCGCTATATAACTAATTTGAGTTAATAATATAAATATATTCACAACTTCCCGTCTAAAAAAAACTGACCGTCTAGCCATTAATTAAAATTCAATAAGTACAAGTAAAAATTCCAGTCTTTTCTTAGTAATCTGATAAAGCTCAATTGTTTTCTTAATAAACTACCTAACATTCATTCCAATAAAATTTAACCCATTGATTTAAGTGAGATCCGTAATACTGATTTAGTTATTTTATTTTATATTATAGAATGTATAGTAAATATAAAAATTGTAATATTTTGTAATTAGTGATAAGATTTTAAAACTTATTGCTCGTATCAAGAGAATATACAATAAATAAATGTAGATGTAGTTATTTAAAAATAATACTTACTGGACAGCACTTGCAGTCCAAACAAATTATATACGGACTATAAACTAATTAAGAAATTCGAATATTTCCTAAGCCCACTGATGATGAGTACTTGGCAATACTTGAAACAGCGTTGTTTGGTCAGCCAAATTTTAATAATAAATAATTTATAAATAATATAAATATTGGATCGTTCTCTAGCACTTGCAGACACTATGATATGTAATCTATCGCGCACCTATCTAATCTACATATGTCCTACGATAAGGAAATAAATTCGATATCTTCACCTAATTTGCACTCAATCAAATGAGGACTGAAGTTTAGTCAAGAAGGTTTTTTTTAGCACATAAAAATGTTCTTTAAATACATTAAATTAAATTTAAAAACATTAAATAATAATGTTTTGTAAACGTTCTTCATATCCAGACCAGAAGGACCACTAACAGCACCACAGTGATTAACGAACAGACATAAACTTGGCCAAATGTCTAATTTTGCAGGATGAGAGCTCTGTCGGGTTAGTACTATAAAAATTTATAATATTCCCTTGGCTAAACACAGGCATTAACAAAGAAGATTTAAACACAGATTCATCCTCCTCAGTGCCACAAACGCAACAAATTGAATTATAAGGTACACCCAGTCTCATGTTATGTATAGATACCTTTCTTTGATATTTATCTTTTATAAGTTACAACGTTTAAAGTTTTTTCTTTTATTGAGATTTAGCTAGTGTGAGATCAATATAAGTTAAATAACTGCTTTTTACGATGTTAGATACACGCCTAAACTCTTTATCTATTTGGTGAGGTTTTATTTCTGATTTATAAAAAGTTAATGCTTCAACGACTTATATTATCTGTTTTAAATTTCTTCAGTCAATAAGTTATTAAAGTTTCTTTCGTTTAACCTTTAATATGTAGTATTGATATAGGTACATATTACTTAATGCAACTTGGATCAATATAGGTGAAATCACTACTTATGGCGTAGACTCAGTCTCCTGTCATATAGTATAGGTAGGTACCTTTTCTTAATGTTAACAACGTTTACCCTATGTTTGTTGAGAATTATATGGTGGGGATCAATATATGTTAAATAACTGCCACTATCGATGTACTTCTACTCACCTCTCTGGTAGAATTCTGTTACAAAATCTTAAAACCTCTTATCTCTTCAGTCAATAATTTATTAAAGTTTCTTTCGTTAAAGCTTTAATATATAATATTAACACGCTTATTTTCTAACAAATAAACAATTTTAAGGCAGTTAACTTTCATAAATGAAGTCATGACAATTAATAAATATTTTATAGCATAAATTCTTCTAGCAAATAAAAGAAAAAAACTAAAAATATAATTTATGCCTGAAAACCTCAAAACCATTTTTCAAATTGAAAAGTACCTAGAAAACCGCAAATACTTAACTGTTTTTGGTATTTTTGCAATGTAGACATGCTAAGCATTTAAGCCTAAATACACGTTTTAACAGCACTCACACCGGAATACTTCCAATTGGTAACGATATTCATAGCACTTTTTCAACTTACGCACAATTGCAAGCCACAATTCTTCCAAAGGATGTTCCTCATGGAAAAATACTGCACCGAACTCTCTCAACGATTTTTGTGAAACTCGTAACCAACAATTTGATTATCATGTGAATTGCTACACTTGTACGCAGTAGACAAAAAAAGGAAGGTCAACCTTTCAGATTGGTGCCATACGCACTGAATGGTACGTACTACGTAGTTCCTTTCGATACCAACATTTCTTGACTGCCTTCCTTGCGATGACGAAATTTGCAACAAATACGACAACAGATACAAACAAGCATTTGCTGGTATATGCAAGCATTTGCAAGCATTTGCAGGCATTTATCATGAAATGCATATGTGTTGTAAATTTTAATGGTCAATTTCTCACACTAAATGACTTGTAACCTTACAAAAGCTAACTAAGCACTCATACTTAGTAATGAATATCCTCATTCGATGCCAAATGCAGTCGGCATACGTGCAACAGTGGCACAACATGAATCCTGTAAAAAAATATGAAATTTTTGACTCTATACTCGTCGCAGGACTAAATGGACTAAATACGTACAAAAAGTATTTTATTCTCTTGTCCTGGCATTGTCAAGTTTAAACGCATTTTGTCTTCAATGTAAATGATCTGTTGTTTTTTTGGTGCCACGTCGTTAGTTCAACAAGTGCTGCTAAGACCGAAACGTATCCTGAAGCACATAAAATAAAGATTCCATTGCAAATAGGCACAATTCCATATTGCACTGCATGTGCACAAATCATTTGCAGATGTTCCCAACAGTTTCGCATATCCTTCCATACTTGCTCCTACTACTCGCTCTATTGAAAACTTGAATCCCTATTCGTCTGTCGCAGTGCGTAGCTTAAAACGTTTGTAATTGGCAGGAAATGCATACTCATTTTCTAACGGAAGTCACTACAAATGAGCTTTTAGTTTTTCTCACTTTTTCATGCGTTCCGTAGAAAAATTTGTCTAGATTCTGCACTAACAAATTAGGTTTTGCATTTGCATTTCCGCTTAATCGCAAAGGTGAAATTTCATTATCGATTTAGTTACGAACTCTATTTTCTAATTTACTGGCGCATTATCATCCAATAGGATCCTGGTCACTTGCTACACTTTTAGTTTTTTATTCCATTAGACAAACGGAAACGATTGTCTGATAGTCTAATCAAATATTTTCTAAAGACTAAAAATACCAAATATGATAGAGATGAAGTATAATTGGATAGGGGATAATTGCTTACATCGTTAGTTGTAGTGGCAGGTCAGTAAACATCATTCCACTTCCCATAGTCATTTTTCACCATTTTGCGAAAAACCAAAAATCCATAAAAACGAAATCAAATTCAATCCAATTGACCAATTCAATCCGTAATCCTAACCGAGGGATAGTCCCGCAAACTATTCATAAGCTACACAATTCTTATTCTTGAGTCTTATTGTAGAATTAGTTTATTCACAATTTAGTCTCTGACCAATAACTCGATAAAACTAAAAAATGTTACTATTGGTGATACACTTCAAATTACTGACTGACAAAAAACCTGGTTTGTCCTTATGACTTCAAAAAGATATGTCTCCTAAGTATAACAGAGATGATGTAACTATTACCTGACGGAACATCTAACCTGGCATATGCGATGACACAATATCATGTTTAGCTGAGGGAAAATGAAAAATATCAAAACTGTTGTCATATTTTGACGGCTCTGTATAAACCTGAGAATATTAGGATATGATTTTTTATGCCCGTTCGATATTATGAACTCCTCAACAAAAAACATTCTGGCTTTCAACCGAAGGATTATATACCGTCAATACGATGGAGGTCAGTTGAAGCACAAAAGATGTAATGTAGTCGAAATACTCTGCTTCACTGTAACCCTAAATATTCAACCTGCTAAATACTGAATCTTATATTCTACCTTATGTATCTGACAATTCATTTAGTATCAGTTACTGATTACTTTTTTATTTTATGATTCATAAAAAATCTTATCGTGTAGATTATAGCCAATATAGATATGGGTAATGTAGATATGGCTAATGTAGATATGGCTAAAGTAGATATTGCTAACTTCGATATGGCTAGTGTAGGTATGACTAGTGTAGATATAACTGATGCATATATCACTAATGTATATATGGCTAATGTATATAATGCTAATGTAGATATAACTGATGCATATATCACTAATGTATATATGGCTAATGTATATAATGCTAATGTAGATATAACTGATGCATATATCACTAATGTATATATGGCTAATGTATATAATGCTAATGTAGATATGGCTAATGTAGATATGGCTAATGTAGATATGGTTAATGTAGATATGGGTGATATAAATATGGCTAGTGTAGATATGGCTAATGTAGATATGGCTAATGTAGATATGGCTAATGTAGATATGGCTAATGTAGATATTGCTAACTTCGATATGGCTAGTGTAGGTATGGCTAGTGTAGATATGACTGATGCATATATCGCTAATGTATATATGGCTAATGTATATAATGCTAATGTAGATATGGCTAATGTAAATGTAGCTAATGTAAAAATGGCCAATTTATACATGGTTCATAAAGATATGGGCTATGTTACTTTATATATCAACTTTTAAAAAATGGTTGACACCATAAAGTTCGCTATTTCTCATAATATTTCAATCATTACTGTCATTAGTTAAAATAACTTTTAAAAACATTATTGTAAAGTAACTTTCGTCAGCATAAGGCATCAGTAAATGTAAAGTAATTAATTTTTTTAATAAAGAATAACTCATGGCATAGCAAATATTTATTAACTGCATTATAATAAAAGTTCTTAAAAAATAAACTACAACAAAAAACAAATAAAATTAACCTGACATGACTTTCATTGCTTCTGAATGGAAGTTTATGAACAATTAAGTCTGAACAAAGCCAATGCAACATGTTGCTACCAAACGCAAAAGCCATAAGCCATGAGCCATCGGCTTCGCCACTTACAGTAGCCGGGATAATAAATATAAAGCAGCTGAAGTTAATTGAAAGCACAAACTCGTCCCAAACTCAAACTCACCACACACACATACACAAACACACACACGCACAGTACATTCGATTTACATAGATGGGAGCACACTAAATAAGTGCTAAGAAAGTCTAATGCTGGCATTAAATTACTGTGAGCGCTTTGAAGGCGGCTTGAGTTACGACCAAGAAACCGTGTGGCAAATGCGGCATTTGCTTATGACGAAGTGGCAAGAAAAAGCTCTACCACGTGTGTTGGATCAAGCAACTGTGAAATTATGAATTTACATAACTATTTTCACAAGAGAAATTGATAGAAATTTAATAGGAATTTAGAGTAGAAATTTAGTAGAAATTTAGTAGAAATTTAGTAGAAATTTAGTAGAAATATAGTAAAAAATTAAATGAAAAATTATTAAAATTTAGAAAAATTTTAGTGAAAATTTAGTAGAAATTTAATATAAATTTAAAGTTTTTTTAAACGTCAAAATTTGGTTCCGGTTTCCATATATGCCATTCGGTCATGTAAAGTCAGAAAGAAACGTATAAAAAAAATTATGTCTAGCGTTGGCACATGCAACACACATTAAACAATTGTCTCGTCCACACGGCATTAGGTCCTTGCTGCCGTAGTAAATAGTAAAATTTTCCAAATTACCGACACAAGTAAATATGTCAAGTGCAGTCGTGTTGCATTGTCCTGCTAAGTTGCAATCAGCCAAAAAGTCAACAAAGGACGAAATGCATTTTTATTTTATTTGCATTTAGACATGATGAGCTGCAGTTATGGCGACACCAACCGACGCTACATATGCGTATCCATTTCCGGTAGCTATCGGTAACCCTCTTTGTTGGCTTTTACTCAGGCCGGTTGATGTTGACGATTCAACGCTTCCGTGCGTGGTAGTGGATGAAGCACATGCACAAGGACATATGTAAGCTTTGGAAAGGTTTTTTCTTTTGGGTTGGTGTAAATTGGTCAACTAAATTATGCAACATGACTACTATTCTGGTCGCTGTTGCCTCTGCTGCTGCAGTTGCAACTTTATTGCATTGCATTATGCCTCGTCTGCATCATGTAGAGTCGGATCCATTGTTGTGTGAAGGTCGCTGTTATATCCTTGCAGTTACAGTTTGCACCACGGCAATGTTTAATATAAAATGAAATTTTAAACAATTTTCTCCACATTTCGTTACATGTTCATTTAATGTTCATCTCTTTACAGCATATTGTTGTTGTTATGGCTGCTGCTGATATTGTTGTTGTTGTATTCGGCATTGTTGTAATTTGTTAACGCGTTCATAATTTCTGGCACAAGCCAGAAACATGTGTTTCGTGGTCATTATTTCGTGGTCAAACGTTATTCTCTTGCTATCGCAGTGATTTGTCACTTTTGGCCACTTTCCTGGTTTACATAAACTTTATTTCGGAATTAAATAAACAAAAACAGTTTAAAATTATTTAAACAAATTAATTGTTTGCAGATTTCAAAATAAAAAACAATAATTTATCAGAAGTTCTGATGTGAAGAATATCAAATCTCATGATTTCTTTTGAAGGACATTTATTTCTTCTCTTATTTTTTTAAGAGTAGTTATAAAGATATACGCAACAACGAACACTAATAAACTAGCTGACGATAACCCACATACACATCAAAATCACCTCATAATCCTCATGAGACACCTACAAGTCCAACCACTCAATGGAGTAGAGAGTCCATAATAATTAATGACTAATAACTTCAATACAAGTAATAAAGTATTGTGGGCTAAGTATTGTGTGTTTTATGTGTCCATAGGACGATTCAAACCTATTATATTATTACTTCCTTGCCAAATTAAAAAAAATTCTAAAAAATTCATTATCGATAATGATATGATATGACAAGGGCCCTATAGTATACAATGCAACGTATATCAGCACATCCTGTTCTTTGTTTGCTTTCTGCGATAACAGTTTTAACCCATATTTGCCTGGGTCGATCCTGTCGACAACTACCTTTTGAATGTCATTGAAGTGCCATCTTTTCCGTATTATTATTCTCTTCTTGTACGATATGCCGATTCCTACATCCATATTTTATTCTCGATTTTTGTTTTGATAAGAATGTTGTTTGTCAAGTATATGTCATCTTTGAAAGTTGGTAGTTTACACCACTATGTTATTTTCCAGTTTGGAAAATAGTTGTGATCCTTTCATAAAAGAAACTTATTAGTATTTTTATTTTTTACACGAATGAGCTATTCGTATTTAGCTTATGACTCCCACAAGTGAGAATCCCGTAAATATATATGAAAGTTTTGACTCGATCCTTCACAAGTTTACCTACGATATTATTACTATCGAAACTAACGTCTTGAGGCATCATATATCAGATTTTTGAAATTTTTAATATACTTGGATTTAGTGATCGAAGATTAAATAGATTTTAAGCTACTATACTTCCGTTCCTCCATTTCTTAAATGATGTTTATTCAAAATATATGCAATATATACATAAATGTATCTTTTTTAAATATCCGAATATTCTGAATCTATTAAATAAAATACGTGTTATCATGTATTAGAATAAAAATCCACACATTGATTAAATTTTTAATAATAACCTCACCACTTTAACATATATTTTTAAACCAATTTACGAAAAAAGTGAAGGAGTAAACCAAATTTAACAGTTTTTGAAAGCAGTGCTCATAACCCCACAAAACACACCCATGCACCTAAAATACACGAAATCTTCTTAACCAAAGTGTGAAACCGCAGAAAAACAGCGGTAGCGAATCTCAAAAATTGGCTTTAGCGATCCTGTTCCCTGACATATTCAAACTCACAATCGCTGCAACTCATTTGTGTGATGGTGTCTGCTCCATGATTATCATGATTTCGTTTTGATTTGTTGGAATGAGCAAAAATAATCAATTCCAAAACCAAATCAACAATCGATCAATTTTACATTAAATCAAATAGCGAAGGAAATCAAATGTGAAACGAGTGTAGAACTGAGAAGGTCTTTGATTGTTTGTGCTGATCTTTCTGCTCCAGGTTAATGTAAACGTAACGCAATTGCATCGTGAGCAAATCTTGCAATCATCATTAACATGATACTACGTAGGTAATTCCTTTCAATTTCGCTTGACTGTTTACTGCTCACCTGTCAGAAGTCAGGAAAGTCAGAAAAGCAAGCAACAGGTTCAAAAGTCTTTGATCCATTATGTTTACATATCCATTTTTGTTCTACCAGATTAAGGTTGGCTGGGGCAAAACTGTCTTTGCAGACACTGTGCGCGCATGCAAATCATAAGTTTCATTATTGAAATTTTTCATTTTCTCATTTTTGATCTTCATAATGAACCAACACGTAATGATCCTGAACCCACTTTGCAGTGTGTTGTTGGCGGAGTTAAAGTTGCAGTTGCAGTGTGGTACGTGTGTACGCGCCGCGCCATTCATCGCACTTTCCGACTTTGGCCGTTGGCCGTTGGCCGTTTGCCGTTGCCACTGTTGTTGTTGATTTAGCGGATTCATTTTCGGAAGTTAATTGCATGGTGTCCGGAGTAGTAAATTGAAAACGAGATCGAGCGGCTAATTTGAAGTCATCATTATTTTCATGATCAAACTCAATTGCTTTTGTTTTATTAAATAATTTTTTTTTCATCGTATAGTTTTTATTTGAATATTATTTTCACATATTATCGGTTAAGTGCATGAACTACGGGTATCGGCTTTACTACTTAACTTGTGGTGTAGCAAGTTTCTCATTTTGTTACATGTGAATTTGATCATTAAACAAAATAGCTACTGTTATATTGTATTAAATTGATTAAAGTATTTTTTTGTTAATAAAATAACCCATAAATGTTTGTGGATTATATCTCCGAAGCCTCGACTATGAAGTACCTGAATTCATCTAAGTTCAATTTTTAATAATGACAAAAATTTGAAAATCTTAAAGAAATGATTTATAACTGGCGCAGATTCTAGTTCTAAGTATGTAGAAAGTATAAGTTATCTTCACTTAATTTACAATCTATTACTTTTTGCGATTTATAGAATTTTGACAGTTCAATAAGCGTGCCCATGCTAAAAAGGATGCCCTTTGAATAAAAATGAAAAAAATAAATAAATAAA